CTACTACTACTACTACTACATCTTCTTCCACTACCACTACCACTACCACTCTGACTCCTACTCCTACTCCTAGTCCTACTCCTACTCCTACTCCTACTCCTACTCCTACTCCTACTCCTACTCCTCCTGCTGCTTCTGCTGACTACTACTGCTTCTGTTGTTATGTTTTTGTTTTGGTGTCACACATCGTGGTTCAATGCTTTTGCTCTGCTCCTTCGGCATTAGCAACTGGCTGCACTTGAGCTCTAAAAGGGCCACGTCCCAATCTTCTTGGGCAGGCCGAGCATAACTTTCGGATGCAAATTACAGAGACCACCTTTGTGGCTTCACACGGAAACTTTCACGTTCACATCTGCAGCTGCCCCGGAGCTCCCGCAGCACCTTCAAAGTGGGCCATGCGCGGCTCGATTACCAGAAATCAAGGTGCAATGCATGTTCCGCAGCAAAGACCTGTGAGGAGACCGTTCCGAATCTGCGCCGAAACGTCCCCAACTGCACCAGGTCCTGTTTGCATTGCAAGGCGTAGCTTCTAACTTCTAACTGTATCAGCTGCCGCTCCAACGCACACAGGCATCCAAAAAAGAGCAGAGCATGTGAAGATGCGCCTTGAACACTTTGCTGGTCGCGCTTCATTTTCACTGTTTTGGTCTTTGCTTTGATCTTCTTTGTTCTGGCTTTCTGTGTCAGCGGCGCCCCTGCAACCAATGGTGCCCCTTCTTCCAGAACAGGCTCTTCTTCGCTCCACTCTACCGCAGGGGCAGCCATCAAGCCGCTGTCTAAGCTTTGGTCAGCAGTGGCTACTTCCACCTCCGAACCACCAGGATCGTGCACTTCCGGGCCAATGTGGTGCCTCTCCTCTTTCTCCGCATCCCGGTCACCTGTGTTTACCTCCCCCTGCATTTCTTGTTCTTCTGCTCTCCTTGCGGCGACATGTTCCAACATCTATCTACAGCCCGATATGATATTGCCACTAAAGACTCAACAGGTTCATCTGTTGAAGCTCAGGCAGGCACCCCAAATTCTTGTCTGATCGACTTTTCTTCACTACTTTCTTGCCCTTCTTCCGTTTCTGCTCCTTTTCACCGTCCTTGTCCTGCTGTTCATCTGGCGCAGCTGGAAGATTCTTCTCTGGCCGCTCTTCTGATGTCAGGCCGCTTGTTTGATTGAAACCCGGTTCTTCCATCCTTGTCCTCAGCTGCAAGCCAATCCCTGATTTTTTTTAGTTTGCTTGCTGTTTGCTGGAGATTTCGCCTGACGAGTCACCTCTCTTCTAACCAGCCAAGCTTCTGAACTTTTTTCTGTGACTTTGTGGGTTTGCTCTTCTTTTTCTGGACTTCTACTTGCACCCCAGATTTCTCGAGCGTCGGAAAATCACACTGCGTGGTAAGCCACTTTGTGGACCTAAGCTTGAAGAGTATCCAAAGATGTCTGTTTGCAGACTGCATGATGTTCCCAAGAAATTCCACCCTCAAAAGACACCAGCGACATGCCCAGGCTGTGCGGTCCGCTCGGGAGGAAAACTGTACTGGACCGGTTCGACGCGGCCACGTCTCGGAGTGTCTCAAAATACCTGAGAGTTGAAGCGAATCACAAACGGATCTACGCGACTGATGATGAAGACACCCTTTAATTCGACCCTGTTGCTGCGTGATCAGCAGCAACTCAGAGATCTTCTCCGTTGACAGGGTTTCGCCGGATCCGTGCGTAATCGAGTCCTTGCAGCCATTCAAGAAACCTACAGTAGCAAGCTGTGTCATAAACTCCAGTTGCAGCACGGGTGCCCTCAGACCATCGATGATGGCACGACGCTGCCTTGCAATGCCTTCTCCCTGACAGCAGTTCCAAAGCACAATCAGTGGCCAGCATGCACTCCCAGATTTCAAATGTGTTTAGGATTCGCGGCTGCACCCCAGCTCCAGTGCTCGTGCACTGATCGCAAAGCACGTGACTGAAGCCCCAAGCTGTTGCGGCTAAGCTCTTTCCGCAGACCGCGCTTTCACATCTCACTGACAACCTATATCGGATCTCTTAACCAGGCCCAGAGTCACACAATGAGGTACTGTTACTAGAAATTCTACTGATCTCAATGTAGGTGTTGGCGGCTTCGCTTGGCCCACACATCAGCACTGGCAGTTTGCATGGTCACGCTCGGGTTGATGTTCTTGGCTCTTGGGCCACATTTAAGCCATCGCGCATGTGTTGACTTTGGCCTCGTTTCACCTTTCCTAAGCTACATTAAGCCCTACTAGACTCATATTAGATATAGATTCGGCTCTTTGGATGTGCAGCGTACCTGCAGCTGTGCCGCGTCAGCCGCAGCCTCAGCAGCCTTGACCACCTTTATCTTCTCAGCCTGCACCGTGCGAAGGTCAGAGGCCTGGGGTAGCCTGTACAGGGCTTGTCAAATGGATTAGCTAAGGCTGGGCCCTGCTGGCACTTAGAACTCGCACCTTCTTATCTCGCACTAGAAAGTCTGTGCTCCAGAGTAACAAGATCTCCGTACCGTAACTTGCTGAGATTCGTTCCCATCTAGGTCAGCAGTCCACCTCTGCAGCCATTTGTGAAGCATCCCGAAGGCCTTGGCCAGCAGAGATGGCAAAATGCTCGCAGTGAAGGGCCCTGGCAAAAGTTCAAGCCGAGAAGCGTTTCTGCTTGTTGATCTCCTTACGCGATTTTAATGAGAAGCACCAACAAGCTTGCGGTAGCTTGGAGGTTTCATGGTCTAGGCTAGCACTGACACTCTGACACGTTGCAATAGCAATTCCAGCAGGCTTGAGGCGGGCGCGTTCATTGACGCAACGACTTCTGAGTTTGGTGTGACCTGCGCATGAGCTTCAAGCCAGTAGCTGCAAGTCACTGGCTTCTCTCTGCCGCAGGTCTCTCTCTTTCCTTCATGTCTGCGTCCTGGGTGTTGACCATTGGAAAACCCATTGCTCAAATGCCGGGCGCGTATGTTTTTGCTTTAGCAACTCCACAGATGCAATGGACATGACCAAAGCCAGCATTTATAAAGGATATTTTGCTCAGTCGATGCAGAAAACCACTTGAAATTGACCGGCATACACTACGAGGTCAAATTTCCAACTCTGCATACTGTGTGATCTGAGCCCCTCTGGGTTAAGACTCCAGGTACAAAATAGTACAAATGCTCTCACGTTGTGTTATGCCATGCTCCTCTCGCGCTGTCTCTTTCTTTTGTTCGAGCGATGAGCTCGGAAAACGCCGCTCCTGCTTTTGGCGGTATATGTTACTTCTGCAGCACTAACAACTGGGAAACCATATCAATGCCTGCATGCTATAATGTTAAATGTTATAAATATGCGAAACACACAACTTACCCAATGTATCCCGGTGTAGCTCTCGAGCCCTGGAAAACGATTTGCACTACCTCATCAGCTCCATCCTGGACCAGGGCAAGCACCAAACTTGGCGAGGATGTTACTGTTGAGTGTGGCAGGGCACGAGCCAAAGGTACGAGCACTGCTTCATGAGGACATGCCTTCTTGGAAAGAGTGATGATCTGATATAATGCTTTGCCCACAACTTCACAGCCTATAATGGGACCAGTGCAGAACGGCATACATGTTGGAAGCTTTCGGGCCGTCTCGCTCTCTCTCACTCTCTCTCGCTCAAGATGCACAGAATTACCGAATCTCGCGCTGTGCTGGGTCAGATTGGTTCAACTTTCCGCCTCTGTGACCAAAGCCTTTGTGATGGAAAAGCCAAAGTTTGCCATTTCCTGAACGCAGTGCACAGATTCCACATGCCTTGTGTGGCTGGCATTTGCGCTGCATTTCAACGGATCCTGGGCAAGCTTCTTCTGGACTGCGTCTGAAATGTCATCCTCACCGGAGCACACAAAACTGCTCGAACCCTTGAGCCGTGCCAGTGTGATCGTTACTGACGGTTGGTCCCTTGTGGTCACACACGTCTGCATCCCTCCCACCGAACGCACCGAGCAGATTTCGAACGACTTTGGCATTTGCATGAGATGCGATTAAGAGCCGCCTTCTTCTCAAAGGCCTCATCCAGCGTCATCTGCGGAATGTATGAACGCACCACATCCTTGCTGAAAACTGGCACCGGAATCTCAAAAAGAAGAGCTTTGAGGTTTGAATATTGCACTGCATCAACCTGCAGAATCCCAGCAAATGACACAAACTCATCCCAAGCCATGAAGTCCACAAAATCTCAAAAGCTCAAGGTTGGAGTCTGCTGCGCCAATCTTGGCAGGGAGCGGCCACATAGGATTCTATTTGGACATGGACGTTGTCTAATTTGTACATTGCCTCAGCCCGTGCACCAACATCCGGAAAAATTTCAGGTGGCGTACAAGAGCCTCCTGTCTCAGATACCTCTGCCAGGTTGCAAGCTCTGTGTATTCAGGCATCACTGCCTGCTGCACAGCGACCTTCACGTGCACGAACACGTTGTCCTGCAAGATCTTCCGCGGGCTTGTGCGTCTCAGCATGATGCACTTGCATGTAGTGCCGCTAGGCAGGGCAGCTCCATGCTGTCGAGCCCTTGTTGGCAAAAGTGAAAGCTAAGCAGGCATGGTGTGAATAAGATGAACACGGCGTCATGTCCTCCTTCCCTGGCACAGTTCTACTTTAATCAAGCATGCTGCACTTGGCAACCAGCACAGCAGACTGTCCTTGGTTTTGGTCTGAACTGTCACCAGATTCTGCTCAGTACGGGAAGTAATGGATCGGAATCCAATGCAAAGTCCTTGGATTGAGAAAGCGCCCATTCACGAGTTCATCGCTCAACTCTGAAAGGAACATCCGACACGAACAACAGAACGGCTGCAATTGCTAGAAGCTTCCACAGCAGTCCAGGCCAGCTGTAGCCAAGCCCGGCTTCAGCATGTGCGAAAACCTTCCAAACTTCTCGACGGCGAAATAGCCTCACAGATATTTGCAGATCCAGAACCTAATTATCAAGAAAGTGGCCATGCAAATGGCAAGGTTTTCCAGACAAAACTCCCCATAACTAAGCGCGGCAGAACATTGCCAAGCCACGATCCTGCGGGACGGTGACGAGGCAGTTTGTGCAGGGCAGACAGCCCCTGGCCAGCACAAAGACGAGGGGTTTGTAATAGCTTCAATAGCCCGATCGTAATTGTCATGGAATTAACTCTAGCACAGCACCATCAATCTAGGAGGAGCAGCAGGAAGAGCAACAGCAGCAGCAATAGCGGCAGCAGCGGGCAGCTGCAGCAGGGGTAGCAGTAAGTAATTCAAATTGTATAGGGTACTGGCCTAGATTTCTCTCCAACATGCACTCCAAGCGGCCTCTCCACCCTCTGCATGGCTGCTTGTCTCTGACTCTGCAAGGTCAGGGATCCAGGAGTTTTCTACGTGGGTGCTGCATTTGTGGGCAGATGGCGGGCGCGGGTCCAGGCTGAGAAAGTTGAAAAGATGCCTTGCTGCATGCCTTGCCTCATGCCTGCTGCCAAGAAGATCAAATTGGTTTCGATCAATCCAAGTACCAGGAAAAGAAAGCGCTCACGGCCACTCATACCTAGGACCTTTTTTGCGCAAAACATTGCGACCAGTCAGCCGAACAAAACCTATCACGACAAATACTCATCACACGTCGTCTTTGACAACTCTGGCTATTTGTCGATGCAGTGGCCATGGGCCCTTGGCTCAAACGTTGACCTGGACCTTCCTATTGACAAAAGCGGCCGGAGGAAATCCGCAGCAAGAGGCATCGCTGGAGCTTGCACCTAACGCAGGATGCAAAGTTGCCATCAGCTTCAAAGCACCCATGAGCACTTGGAATCAGAGCAGGCATTACTCGCATCGGTTTTCGAGGCCTCTAAACCTCTAAGCATGCACGTGGCGGTGAAACTAAGCTTGACGTTCAAAAACAAAAAGTAAACTGCTGGTGAGGCATAACTCGGTATAACTTTTCGCTGCGTTGCCTTCATGAGACCAGGGGACCAGCGCACATATATCTTGTTGTTTGGTGAAACAGCTGACCCTCTGCCTCGAAGCTTGTGGCTTCTCGGCGTAGCCAATGGACAAGCGCCCATGTCTGTGAAACATAAACAATCGCTCACTGATTCTCCTTAGCTGCGGCAGCATGTGGTCCACAGGATTCCAGGAAATTGGCTGCCATGCAAGCTTCGGCTCTACGACGCAACCTGCTGCCGAGTTTCAATGATCTTCCGCACAAATTCTCCATACTCACACTCCCCACCTGATGTTGTCGCAGCGCACACTGGCAGGACATGACTAGCTAACAAAGCCAAGGCCAAGTCCACAAGATGTGCAAGCATTTTTGCACTCCGAGTGGCTGTTGTCATCATCAGCTGCTTGAATCATTTCTTCTGCCCTCAACAACATTGGGCTATCAGAAGCTCACGAATGGTACCACGGCATCGTTTATGAATTGACAGACTAAATTGACTTCATGTTGTTGCACAGGGCCGCAGATTGTCTGCTGTTGTCAAGGGCAATACTGCCGCAAGTGTATAAGGGTGAAGTTCCTTTTCTGGCGGTGAAGCTCGTGCCTTTCAGTGGGCAGAACATCCAATGAGCCCTGGCAACGCTAGCGAAAGCGCCTTCTACCAGGTGTGTAGAAGTTTCTACGTGAAGCAGTTTACTTGCTCCGGCGGATTCTCTGACTTGACCATGGGTGCCTTGTTCGTGATATCAAGTTGAATTGTGCATGAACTTCGTCAACCAGTACATACAGGGCCAGTGAAGAGACAAAAGCAGAACGGCTTCAAATGTCAAACTTCCGAGTTGTGGCAGACTGCATTCTTCATTTACACGTATCAAGCTGCAGCTGGCTGAGTGCGTGGCTGCAATGGATTGACCTGCACTGCTGGACATCACAATCCCCGACAAACCTCTGAGGATGAAACAGCTCGGCCTCGAAGCCAAGTTTGACAAGCACATCCTGCAGCTCGATGGCATCAATGGTTCCGCTCTTGTCCTGACGGAAGTTTGCCGACAGCCCTCTCTGAAGCGCATGAAAAAATCAAGAGTGTCCTTGTCGAAGATTTTGAAGGCGTTGACCAGCTCATCTTCAGTGATCATGGATCTGTCAAACCTTGCAAGCTGGGTTCTGTACTTCATCAAAGGGTTAACCTCAGAACAATCTCGATGCTTTGTAAAGCCGCGCACTTTGCCATGAGCTTCACGAAGCCTTGAACATAGCCGTCACAGGTACAATGAACACGAATCCTACCCACTGACTTCAGATTGGCACAACGCAGTCGCAACGTGGGAGGGCATGCTGCTGAAGATCAAGAATCAAGGCACGCTGGAAATCTAGAATCCCCTTGCCGTGAGCATCGATGTCATTCATAACCTGCCAAGGTAAGGTCAGGCAATCGATAGCTTGCGCACATACACTTCTCTGAGTTCAAAATCGCAATGCATGCCATCTGACACAGGCACTCAGCTGCGCTGAACTGACCAACGGCTGCCTAATCTACTCAATGCCTGGTAGCAAATGTCTCGTTTGCAGCCTGGGAACTTGCAAGAACCTGGGCCATGTCTGATCAAGTCATGCTGCCACACAACGCCACACCCACAGTGACCTAAAATTCAGGATCTCTGACTCTGAGTTTGCTCAAGCAAGTTTGCTGCCTAGGCGCTGCCGGTCAGTGGGCTCTTCCCCGAGCCAGGCTAGTGCAGACCGGATCTCGCAGGGCTCAGAGACTTCTAACACTTCAACTTGCTGAATCTTGTGGAAGTTCTCCCACGCACCTGCATGGCATCGATCTTGCCGTCCTGGCGTTTATATGCTGAAGTGTCTCTGCATGTCTTTACATTTGGCAACAGGCTGGCAGTATGAAGCTACAGGACCTAGGGCTCCAAACTGTCATCAGCCGATGAAGGTTGGCTCTCAAACCGGAGTCGGTCCCCAAGCACGTCGTAGAGGCGGAAGGCCCAGCAGAAGTCCCTGAGCTCTGAGTCTCGGAAGCCACACCTCCAGTGAGGGGTAAGGAGGACATGCTGCACACACCAAACTCTGCTTTCCAAATCAACAGTCAACGGAGGGCCAGCCTGTCAGCTAGGAGGTACGACTCAGGAATGCCATCCACTCTTACTCGCTCTTCCTCTTCGCCTTGCGAGCACAGTGCATCACACTTGCCGAACTGGAGATGTGTTTCCCAACTCTGTGCAGGCACAGAAGCCCATTGCGAGCCGGAAGATTGATGCTGGCAGCCGACTAGGATCTGATCCCAAACACCGCGGCAAATAGCAAGAATCCAGCAATGCTGCCAGCTACTAAAGGTGATCAGAAGCTCAGTGGGTCCCACATCCCAAGCCACATCAGCGTTGCAAAGCTTGCAGTACGTTGCTGGCAAGAGCATGTACAAGACGCAAGACCAGAGATATGCAGGCACCTCCATTGTCATGTTGCGTCTCTGTCGGCACATCTCTCGCACATGCTTCCCTCGCGCATGCACTAAGATAGCAAAACTGCAAAGTGAGCCTGAGCCAACACGGCTCTTCGAACATGCGCCCCCCAATGCACAAGCTCGTTGGTGCCACCAGCAAGACCGGGCCCGCTCCGAGATTTGGATTCTCTTGGGCCAGAATGAGCCATGCTGAAAAGCACTGGAATAGCAAAGCAAAGTGCAGAGTCGGAAGCCAGGGCCAAGGCTTCCAGAAGCTTGGAGCCTTTCAGGCCCTGCCGGCCAGGTGCAGGCGGACCGCCTGAATTTCACAAATACCCGGGCTGCAACAGCACACACGCTTGCAATCGCCTGCAACTCCAGAAAGATTCTCAAATAGATGTTCTCTCGTGGCTGTCATAGGTGCGTCTTCTGTCGCGTGCCTTCTGACAAGACTTCTGACTCCTCGGACACTTTGAGCGGAATCGAGGACCTGCCCCGCTCTCTCAACACTTGTACACCAAGCAATGTTACAATGCCGGCCCTGATGGCTTTTTGAATCAAACGTTTTGTGGCTTGCCGCCACTCATTGCTCAGTCGACAACTCTATCTCTACCAGGCACACCCATGTGTCAATCCCTTCTATGCCCATATTTCTTCCCGCTGGTGCTTCTCCAGGATCTTCAGAAGCTGGTCAGCGGAGGTCTTGTTCTTCGCCTCCTGACGACAAAGAGCTGACGTGCTGCCATCCCGTAACCCCAAATTGAAACACTCCTATACGTCTTTGCTTCTCAAAGTTCTGACAGGCCTGACCCAGCTTGCTCCACATGTTCCGTAGGCGCCACGTCAGGTTCTCAACCTCAGCAAATGTAAACATGGTTGCCTTTGTGGACCTGATGTGTACAGAATCCCTGCAATGACCTGGCATTGCCCCGAGGGTTCAACTTGCACATGCCCCCCCTTTATCAGGGTGAGGTGGTCCACCGCCCGCGGGTGCGGTCAGAAATAGGTCTGGGGGCCTATTGTTCGGGAGATCACGCTGATGGGGGTGGTTGACCACCCGGGGGAAATACTTGCACAGCTTTTGCCCTGCAACCCGACTTCGCAGGCTGTACTTTGACTGCCATCCTAAACAGCGACGTGCAGCTTCCATTGCAATTTCTTGGTTGTAGCCCTTACAATGGTGCTCTTTGCATCTGAGCCAGCACGCTGCTAAAATTGAGGGAATCGTGACCACATGTAGATCATGTAGACCAACGCATCCCATGACCCTTGGGTCGAAGGCATTGATTATACAAAAGTGGCTTGTGAGTTCCCCGCGAGGTCACAACACGAGCCGGACCTTTTGCGGCTGGCACCACACTGTCTAACAAGCGTGGTGCACTTCAGTGGTTGATGCACTGTACACTGGAAATGCCAAAGCAAGGGGGAGGAGCAAAACTGCGCAAACACTTCTCAGGACTCCGTTCTTGGTGTCCAGGCATAATCTGAACAGAAACCAATGGCCTGCAACGCTTATCAAGTCAAGGAATCGCAGCCTAAACTACGACATCCAAAGTCTTGGTGCTGAGGAGAAAACGAAAAGGCCATCAAAGAAATCAGCATCAAAACGCTCTGCTGACCATCAAAAAAATTGGTCATCAAAAACGTTAAACGATTATTTGTCTTTTTGAAATGCGGAAAAACGTTTCTGTCATCAACAACGTGAGAAAAAATACTTTCCCTTGTGAAATGCAGAGCAGTCACAGAGATCGTGGGGGTCGGGGTCGCCTTCCTCGTAACTGTCGTCGCTTTTGGACCCTGGGATCCTTGTGGACTTTGCAAAATGTCAATAGTCAAAAGGATTGAGGGCAGCACACTCGCGATGCTGGTAACTGTCGTTGCTTTTAAACTTTTGGATCCCTTTGGAGTTTGAAAAGTGTCAAGAGCCACATAGATTGAGTGGGTCGGGTTCGGGATCCTTGCCACGGTCGTCGCTGCACTTTCTGATGTTTGTGGAATGCTCAGGTGTGGAGAATTCATCTAGAGCTTGCAAACATGGTGAATCCTAGCATTGGGAGCTCATCTAGAGGTAAGATACTGTAAATCACAACATTCGAAGCCTTTTACAACGTGCAGATAATGTACATTACAGCATTTGGAATTCTTTAGAGTCGAGGTTGCACATGCTGTACATCACAGCAGGCAACTCTGAATTTTCAAGAGTTTGCTGCTGTGTGTTGTGAAAATTCTGAGCTTTGCAAGGAAGGTAGACTCTCTGAGTTGCATTTAGAGAAATTGTCGTTTGCGGGCTTGGATGGCGCAACCCCTCCTTGCGAACAAAACGAGCCGCAGAATCCTGCCTTATCTCTTTCCTTCCTTCCGTCTTTGCTTCCTCGTGTGTTTCGTTCCTTCCTGCCTTCCCCCTGCCTGCCTGCCTGCCTGCCTGCCTTGCTTCCTCGCTTCCTCCTTCCCTTCTGCCTTTCCTTACTAGCCTGCTTTCTGTGTCTGGATTCAAAGAGAAGAAAATCCTTATTTGGGAAAAAAAGTTTTTGATTGCAAAATTGGTCTGATTCGAAAAACTTGTTAGCAGCGCATCCCGAGAAAATAAGGTCACGCCGTCATTAGCGGCTGTGGGCGGAACACGCATTCGATCTGGACTTCGTCCCACGCCTGCCAGTGTTCGCAGGAAAAACAAGTTTTCGGAACGTGATTTTTTTGCATTATTGCTCGTGCTTCTTGGGAAAAATCCGCGCTTTGTCCCACGCCTGCCAGTCTTTTCAGCGTCGCTAAGTTAGGGGGCTTTGGCGTCGCACGCGGTTTTCGGATTTATCGGCTCTAACCTCAAAAGAGCGCGAACACGCGAGGCCTGCATTTCGTGTCACGCTGGTCATGTTTTCGGCTCCAGACGCCGTCTGCGACGCTCTGAAATGTCACGCACGAGATGCGAGGCCTTCAGGCGATGCAGCTCCTGCAACACTATCGCAAAGAGCGCAGGAAAGGAGTCTATCAGAATTGACCAGGGTAGTGCGCGGCGCTGATTCTCGCAGAAAATTTTGCGGATCGCTGAGTCTGCCGCGCTTGATCCAAATACGCAGAAGACCTCTGCAACTATCAGAACTCACGCTTCCTCCCACCCCCTGTTAGGCAAAAAAAGAGGATTGATGTTGCTACAGAAAAGGAGCAACGTAGCAGTAGCAGCTTCCAGCTCGTCAGCTGCGACCGCCCAGAGAGGTGCTTTCGGCAGAAACTGCATGGTTCGGGCCCCTACAGCGCGCAACTGCATACAGCAATGCTGTTGCCACCTTAGGCATTCTGGTGAATCTTGGCAGCAGCAAACTACAGCTCCGTGGACACAGGAGCAGAGTCACGGTAAACGGATGCTATTAGCAACTCCTGAGCCTCCTGTCTGACGCTGAAGTCTGAGCTGCTTGCTGGTCAAAGCCATTTTCAAAGAGTCTTTTTAGACTTGTTATGTAGTTCTATGTTAGTTGTACGGACCGTGCACAATGTAGGTTACTATCCCCCCTCCACCCCCTCGCCCCAGCCCCCGCAAGCCCAAAACAAATAATGCGCAAGGCCGCTAAGGAAAACGTGAGCAAAAACGTCTCAGTTGTTTGCTGCTCAAGACTGGCATTCTGACCATGGAGCCCATTTGTGTCATGCGAGCCCACCGGTTTATGTATCCTTTGCAACATCCTGCCAAACTCAAGGAAGCCTGAAATTGCGCAGAGGACTGATATCGTGTGAGATCTGTGTGTGGTGTATTGACGCATCGTTGCCATCTTGTGTTGGCATGCATGATCCTCACCTGCTACTCTGCTGAACAGACACGAAGCATGCTGTAGCAGCCGAGTAAGATTTAACGAGATCTAGATGTAGCAGCACCGCAACCTCAGATACAAAAGCCTACATGTATTAGGCTCGCAAAAGTACTTCAATGACACCACAACATGACCGTTTTGTCCAGCATGCTGCTGTAAAGGAAAAGATCGAGAGCAGTCGGCACGAAAACGTCGGTTGCTGGAACCGGCCAAGACCGGGCCTGTATGACGGAAGCGACGAAGATCGCCATGCTGCCCACAACATCAGCTACGTTTGCTCCGCACATCGCCTGGCGTTTGCCTTCAGGGCTCACCGCCATGTGTGGTCAAGGTGTTTCAAAGAGAAAGAAAAGCAAATATTCCAAAAGCCACAAGGCAGGCGCACCTCGCCACGGGCAGTCCACGAAGCAGAGCGACATCATCTGAGCAGTGTACGCGAAGGAGCCTATGACAAAGAGGACGTCTACGGCGCATTCCTTGGACTTGAGACTTGATTGTGGGTCTGCCCGGTCAGGCTTTTGTCTGGAGAGTTCCGCTTACACAACAAAATTTGATGTCAAGCCAGCCCGCTCTACTAGCATCTCTCCCATGTTCACACATACGCATGGGCCAAAATCAATGTATAACTGCGTAGAACTACGTTGGACACATGTACATGCAATGGTACATAGGCCCGAAAAATATTCTCTGCGCATTGCTGCACAAGCTGCCTTGCGATTGCCGCAAGAACGCGCAGCATCGTAGATGGACAGGAATGCACGCATCAGCCAGGCCACAGCATCGACACTGTTGAAGACGCAGTTCGCCACTGCAAAGTCGCGTTCTGTGCCCCTTCTCTTTAGGCGGGTTATGTTTCGAATCTTCTCAATTGTCTCATGAGTATCCAGCACACGCGTGTCAATGCCAGCGGATGCAGCTTCGAACAAAACATTGGGCAAAGCGGAATGGTTATGATCCGGTCGCTTACGACTTCTGTGCTGCAACCACTGACGCACTTGCGCCGACTTGTTCCGAACCAGCTCTATGTCTTTGTCATGCGGGATGTCCGTCTTTCCCACGTGGCTCTTGGCTGAGACATTGTCCAACAAGCCTCAGATTTACAGTAGAGTGATAGACGTGATAGATGTGATAGCAGCTTCAGCTGCAGCGTCAGCAAAGGCTTGCACTATCTTCCTCCCTCCAAATGGCAAATCCTAGATTAGCCAAAGTTGGCGACCACTGCTGGCTTGTAACGTCGCTCTTCCTCAGGAAAAGGCCGATTCAGCGAGTAGATCTTCTGAAGAATTGGCGGAATGACTCTCCTGTCTTGGTAGACGCGGCTGTCCATCAAAGGCCTGAGCCAAGTCAAGATATGCCGCAGTTCTGGATTCAGCTGTTTCCTGTGCATTTCCTTTGCGAGCTGAAAAAATTGTTGGGGGCCGGTTGCAAAAAAGCTGGTCAAGGGTACCGGTTAGACACATCAGCCAAGGAGAATGGCTGGCCTGGCCTGGTAAGGTAGCAGTCTTCTATGAATCCATAGGTGGTGGATCCAGCTGCTGCGAGGTCACGGAGCCTGCGGCTAGGAAAGGCAAGAACACATGTCTCGGCATCATCTTCCTTGCACCCTCCATTGGTAGGAATGAGTACCAGCTTGAACAACTACTTGGTGAGCCATAGTCCCAAAAGTATGTTCCAAGTCTGCCAAGACAAGTCCAAGCCACGTGGCGGCCACGCAGCCGCTCGCAGGAGTGAGCGAATCCGCACAGGAGGTCGAAGCACTTGCCAAGAAGGAGCCCAGCCAGGTCATTGCCTAGTCTGAGGGTCGGAAAGGACAACCGACTTTGAATGGACATGCCCTGCTTCTTAGGGGGTACTAATTAGTCGGATCGTTCAACACTTTTTGTTGAAACGGCAGCCCCGCCGTAACTGCGTAGCCCACAGGTTCCGTGCATCCCAAAGGGATCTCGTCAGGGCATATAGCGGCCCGATAGATGTACACTATGGCGTTTCCCAAGTACATCGTCGCTTGCGTGACATCGATGACACAGGTGGTCGTCACAACCTCGGAAGTCTGTCACGACACCAACCAAAAAAAGCCAAAAAGCTTACCTCTGAAAGCTGAAAGGTTGCTTTCAACATCGTCGGGCCTTCGCCTCTTCAGGCTCCGAGCTGTAGGGTACGCCCACTTTGTCAAATAAACTTATGTCAAACAGCTCTCGCTCAAGGAGAAGTTCAAATGGATCCGTGCCGGAGGAGCTCAAGTTTCCAGCAAGAGTCACTGGCTCAGTCTGGCCCCGGGGTCTTGCAAGTGAAGCAGTTCCCAGGATTGCCAAACAAAGGACTATGCCAATGACGGCCTTGGAGATCTTTCTGGTCCCACTTTTGGCAAAGCCAAGTGCAGCCGAAGTCGGCGCGGGATCCGAAGGATCTTCGATGCTGCTCTGGAGCAGACTCCTCTCATCTTTTCCATCCTCCGCCAGGAGGACCATTCAATGAAAGGCAGCACGGCCACAACAAGGAATTGACTGGGCGTTTCTCAAAATGGGGGGTACTCTTGGACAGCAGGGATCTACAGGGATTATGCGGGGAATAATGGGGTCCCTACCGAAGGAGTACTGAATTCCTTTTGAGAAACACCCACATCTCCTGGCAAGCCAAACAGCAATGGCCAGAATTCCAGTGCTTTTGCCGCCTACAGCAATTTACACACGCCTTGTGCTGGGCCCCGCTAGGTCTCTAGGTGCGAGCTCTGCATCCTAGGAATCGAATATGAAGGCTAATAAAAATTATAGAACCATCCATGACAGCAACTGAGCACTTCTCACGGGCCATGTGCCAGTCGCCACCTCGCTCGCTCTTCCTCGGATGCGCAGAACATGTCAGTGGCTTCCGCGGAGATTGCATGAAAGATATAACTGGCAGACAAGCCAGAAACCAGAAACCCTGCAACCAGCTTGAGATAGCTTGACTCATGAAGGTGCATCAGGGCGGGAGTTCATGGACAGACATGCCAAAGCAAAGGTCAAGTAAGCTCTGAAACTTGGTCTGGTCTGCCGAAATGATAGCGCTGACACTAGCCAGCATTTGGAGCACCAACATTGCAAGACGCACACTCTTGAGCGCATCAGCTGTGCGCATCAGCTGTGTTAATTGCTGGTCGGGGCAAGCTGACATGAACCGAGGTGCAAGTCTTCCCCACCCTGACAGTGGGCTCTTAGATTTTGAGAAGTCTATGCTCTCCTGATCCTCCGCGCAGTGCCGAACCGCAGAGTATCCCTGCTGTGTCCAAACGCAGAATATCCCTGCAATGCCCAAACGCACAGTATCCCTCCAGCGCTCACTGGGAGGGCATGCTTGAAGTGGGCTCAATCTATCCCTGCAGTTTGCCAACCCCACAGTAGGCCTATAACCCTGTAAGGAGCCAAAAGAGTCCGATGTAGGCCTTGTAACCTTTTATAGGACCCTTTTTGATCCTTATAACTTATAACCCCTGGAAAGAGACGCTATGTAGGCCTCATAACGTGTAGAGTGTAAACCCTGTAAGGGCCGCTACGTAAGGCTGATAGCACCGCTAAAGCACCATTTATTACCCATATCACCCCTTTCAAATGATCCCATGTAGGCCTTATAGCTAAAGAACCCTATATGACCCTTCAAAAGGGACCCTCTGTAGGCCCTATCACCCCTTTAAAGGGACCCTGTACTACAGCCCTCACAACCCTTTAAATGGGCCCTATGTTGGCCTTTTGTTAATTTGTTAGAAGGACTAACCCTCATAACCCCTTTCAGCGGACCCTACGTAAGCCTTGTAGGCTTTTCCCAAACTGTTTAAGCGCACCCTTTGCAGGCTTCATCATCTCCCCGTAGGAGAGTGTAGGATGCTGACAAGAAAAACTTGAATTTTTGCCCCGGTGGATTGGCTGAGTAAGATTAACCAGAGTCGGCCAACAACCCCAAGTGCTGGACAACTATACTTTAGGATGGGGATGCTTGAAGTAAGTAGTTTTTTGAGCGAAAGTTTTGGCTGAGCGTTTGATGAGTTGTTGTCTTTGAAAGGGAGAGAGACAAGAGTTCGTGCTTCAGCTCATGCAAAGCATTTGCAGGCGAGGTACATGTGCGTTGACAACATCCACAGCTGCTGGGGGTCAATGTTCTCCTTCACTCACAGACACTTCTTCAGACTGCAGCTATCACGAATGCATCTTCGAGATTTTTCGGCAAAAAATACCCATCTGAGGAACACGGAGAAATTCTTCATGCATGACATGCAACTGACATCCCATGTCCTCATTCTCTACCATGCGCAGAAGCTCACCCATAGAGTACTGCGTACCTGCCTGACAGCAAACATTACCAGAGCATGCACTCGGTGCAAGGCTTTTGCCAGTGTCCCCAAAGCAGAGTGTCACTTTTTCGACTTCTGCGCTAACGACGATTCTGTCGTGCAGAATCTATGCCTCGCAGGCTTCGCTGCTCGGGTGGCAGCGCTTTGGGACGCTCGCCCTAAACTCCACATGACATGTTGGAGCAAGTGACATGTGCATCCCTTGTCGGGTACTGCTTGCTGCTGGGAAACCTCGCAACCTGTCATCTAGACACTCTCAAGTATCATATTGGCAAGATGGGTCAGTTCAGAATCTGGCACTTCTTCATTCTGACGATGTGATTGCATCAGCTGTGTTTTCAACAACCACAGGCCTGTCCTACAACCTACAGCCTCCTTTCGGGAGGAGGCAATTAAATCGCACACGCACGTCTCGGACTTAAGACCAGCATGGAGAACGTCGGACGTGACCTCAGATGAAGTCCTGCGCCTTGTCCAACTGCTCTTTGCCTGCACAAGTCTGCTAGAGCAAGCTGCGGCTCAGAAACCGGAATCTAGGGGTTTACATAACACAGTTGAAATTGTGACACGCTGTGGTCATCCTGCAGCAAGCGCCTGGATCATCGATCAAGCGATGCCACTGGTCAGTAGTACTGGACTTCCGCAGCGTCACAGACACCTGGAGCCCAAGACATGTTGGACAGCGTGGCTTAGCCCATGCCCTCCTCACGCCTTGTGGCCACTTGCAGACAATGAGCACTTGCACTCCTGGACAGATGGGCTCCGCCCGGGCAGCATTGAGGATTGCAAGGAATATGGGCAAGCATAAACTCTTTTTCGTGTTCTTGTGCTTCTTGTGCTTCTTTCTCTTCTTCTCATTGTTCTTCTTTGGGTTGCTTCTCACACTTTACTTCTTCAGCTTGAGTGCGTGCTAGAACGACTAAGGTTCCTGCGTGCTACCACAAAGCTACTTCCACAGCGAAGTTTAGACATGCGCACCTTAGCCTGCACCGGCGCAAAGAGCCTCCCCGAGAGCCGCCAAACGCGGCCACCAGGGGCAAGCAAGTAAAGTGATAGGCGCCGTTCCTGCTTCCAAGCAGCAGAGGGATTGACAAAAAATAGACAGCTTCCTCAGCCTGAAAGGATGCGTAGGCATCAGCAAACTGGGTGATCTCCAGCTCCTCAGCCTTCACCTGCAGATCAAAATGGCCTTGTTGCGTTTGACAGTAGAAGAAGCGACAGTCCAACTTGTTGCTGCTGCTGTTGCTGCTGCTGCTCGGACTTGCAGGCAAGACACATAAATCTTCACCGTTCCTGCATGAACAGCAGAACATGACTGCAAGCATCAGGAGACAAGCCTCGCACCTTGCGACAAAAGCGCAACATCCACGACTAATGAAACACGCTAAAACACCAACAGACTTGGGTCCTTTTTCGCTGCCTTCGTCAAGAAACATGTACTTGGTCCTGAAGACATGTAAACCATGAAAGAATGCACATTCACCGCAGATGTTCAAAGAGCACCGGGTCAAGGAAAGTTGTAGGCACTGGACATGTGTTCTGAATTTCGCGAAATCCATTCCGGCTCTGACGTTGATGCGATGTCATCATCTTCCGCCTGGAATTGACAAGCAACGATACGAACAAAGATTGCCTGTTGTAATCAGCGCTGTATTACCAGGTGACTAGTGCTTAGCAGGAGACTCTCTGGAGGGCCAGTGCTTCGCTACTCTGCTTTACCATTGCCAGTGGGATGTGCTGTCTGATATCTTGCGTTCATGAAGGTCTCTAAGCACTCTTGGGACTGCAAGAATGTCTGCATCTCATCTTCTGGGAAGAACTGCGAAGCATTT